ACATTTCTGACAAATTTTTATTGCTGGTGATCAACTGCTATCAAAGCACTTCTTAACTCATTTCCAAACCTCCATCTTACTTGTCAACAATTTCACTTATTTTCTGCAAAACCTGATTTCTAAGAAAGTAAAAAAAGCCTAATCATTGGACATTTTATGTTTTAAGTCTAAAAAGAAAATAAACCCTTCTTTAGGAAAATAGCATTACTTTAAATAAGTTAAATATTATTAAATTTGATCCAAAGTTTCTTGTTTCGAGGAAAATAATTAGTAGCGCTTCCTTTTACAGTCCTCTAATTACACAAATGGTAATTACATAGTAAGTTAAAGTGTATTATTGTGTAATTAAAGTGTATAATTATAATAAAGTGTAATTATTGTGTAAAGCAGTATTTACTGGGAATGATTAATAAAAATAAAAACAAGAATTGAAACAGAGTTACATGGTAATAACTGTTTAGGAACTCAGAGACAATATTACACTTTAACTTACTATGTAATTACCATGTCAGTACTTAGTTATTAGGGGGCTGTAAAAGGAAGCGTTACCAAATTATTTGTCAATGGGAGCGTGACTAGAATTCTTAAAACTAGCAAATAAATCAAATTTTACGCACTCATGCGAGTTTTAAGAATTTTAACCAAGCAACTTTTGCTTACCCCCATTGGCAGATTTGTTTTAGTCAAAACAAGAAACTTTGGGTCAGATTTAAAAATATTGACCTTATTTAAAAATAAGGCAGATTTCTCGACAATTTATTTTCTTTTAAGACTAAAATAAGATAAAATGTCTGAAAATATGGCTTTTTTAACTTTCTTAGAAAGTTTTTGCTGTGATCCTTCAACTTCAATCATCATGACAATTCCTCCTCCACTATGTTTTTGTCAAACAATTCCTTTTTGCATCGTTTTACAAAATTTCCCACGCATGTGCTCCAGTTCCCATCCTCACTCTTGCCTTTATCAGATACCTCACAAAAAGATAGCAACGTCACGATGGCTGACCAAACTGGAAATCAAACATCTATTAATCTTAACATTTCCCTTCAGGTAACTAATGACAAATACCCGGCTTAATCAATCATAAAACTTTAAGCCTTAGTTCAGTAAATACATGTAGATTTAGAGTATAGAAGCGGTAATTTTCATACAGATAAAGGATCTGGAAGACCTTCAGAGGGATTTCCTCAGATATTTACTGGATTCCAGTTGTAATCCTCTAGGATTACCACCCTATACCAAGGCCCTAACCTCTGAACCTAAAACATTATAAGCTCTCACGTCCCCAACACTAATGCCACGGTTAAACCCATCAGTTCACTCAATTGAAGAGGACCACCTCCCAAAACCTTGTATCATACCCACTCTGGATATGATTCAGACACACTTAGAGGATTTAAAGGGATGCCCGCCAGATTTATCAAGCCGGGCTGCTCAGTCTGGCCTGTTGTACGGTAAACCCGATATCACAAGCCTGCTATTTCAGCCAAAACATGAATACAGTCCAAAATTGTAGCAGTATTTTTTGATTTGCATGAATCACATCCCTTTCATTCTAACCTGTGGGCAAGAGGGTGGGATTCTGCTTTAAGATTGCATGATAAACGAGTAGACATTGTCATTAGTTAAACAAACGGTGACATGTTTTATACATTACGAGAAAAACTACCATTGTACACGCGCATTAAAGGAGGAATTGTTTTTATTTAAATCAAAAGGCAACTCATAAAAACACATTCATATCAATAAAACTTGATAAGAAGTTAAAGTTTAATAACGATCTTTGATTCATGGAGAGGAGACAAAATGTTAACAACACTTTAACTGACGAGATGCTTTTTTCAAACTGTATCTCCAGATGCCAAAAGAAATTTCCTCTTTCACACACTTGCACAACAAATATTTGATAAACCTGGGAATGGAGCAGTGGAAATGTTTTCCAGATGAACTATGTAAATAAGACCAAAATCCTCAGGGAGACGCGTTAAACGGCCTCAACCACCAACACAATTTACAAAAGAGAGGGGTGCATTTGTGTGTGTGGGCCCGAGCTGGAATATCAAACACAAACATGCCTCAAGGTAGCTGCCAACAAATGGGAAAATTACAAAAAAGTAAACAAAGTGAAGGACGAATTGTTGGGAAAAATGGCCTTCTGTTTTTCCCTTTTAAAAAACGTTCCCACTGCCGGTTCTGGGAAAAGATTTTCTCACATTCAGATCGTAACTCTGGCAGAAAGAAAAAAGACTTCAGTGAGGATCAAAATGCCTCAGTGGGGAGAAAGCTCAGCTTCCTTTTCAGTCCAACAGTTACTTGGAAGGAAAATAAGGAGAAAAAAAAGGTTAGGAATTATCAAGGACACAGATTTGCCATTTATTGGCTTGTTTTAGTGGAATATGAGAACAAAGGGATGATAAACTCAACATGAGAGGCAGATGGACTGAATAAAAACAACAGAGTACAATCATGACCTGATTCGGTTAAAGTGCTGATGAAATCCCCCTACTTTAAAGAAAACCACTTGCTTGAAACCACCACGATTTGACAGAGGGCCCATAGCTGACAAGACCACAAACAAAAACACCAACCAAATGGTTACAAATGAGCTGAATTTGTGACAAAAGAAGGATTCTGCATCCTGGATGTTTTAAGTTGCGTATCTCTGGTTTGTATCAGAACGGTGCTCATCACTGGGATGAGGAATATGATTCACGACGGAAGATTCCTCACAGCAAATCCCAACCAGATGACTTCAATGGGACTGCATTGGCCTGGTTTTCAGTCCTACACTAGATGCAGGACAGCAGCAAGGCGTAATGAATATGCATGATAGATGGGATATGATGTGAGGTTTTAAATATGTATAAAACTTGTCAGTGGGGTTGTGTTGCTAGGAAACAGTTGGGATCCAAGTTTATTTGGCCTGCAGGAGAATCAGCTTCCTGCCTGCTCCTGTTAATAACAAGTGCTGTGACAGGAAATAAATGAGTCTAACTAGGATGTTTACCTTGTCAAGTCTACAAGAAAACCTAGTGGGATGCTAAACACACTAGCTTTTGTTCAGGAGATTTTTCCAGAACAAAATAATAACTTGCAGTGACTTCAAACTCTGCAGGTAAACAAGATTCCTGCAAGATGAGGAACGCCCAACCACCTGCATTCGCTATATACACTTGCAGGAAATCCTTCCTTTGGGATGGGGAAGGAGGAGTGAGAAGGAAGGGGGGAAAACTGATGACAAAAACAACGAGCACAGCTGAAATCGATGTGTGGAACGCAACATGAGAAATGACAAATAATCACCCAGAGACATCGTCTCACACGGCACCGCGGAGCGCAGCCCCCGCACGCCCGCTGGTTCTAACCCTGTTTACAAGGTCACAACACAAGAGGAAAAAATGTGTGACTGCTGGCTGTTGAGTCAATATTACTCAGTCTGATGCATGAAAGTGTGAACACATGGCGGCACGCTCTCCAAAGGCACAGGGGTGCATGCGTGCAAATAACAATCCACACGTGTTGCAGTGCTGCTTCGCGCAGCAAGTAAAGACCTGTGTATGTGTTTGTAAAAATCATCACATTCACACACACGCTATGCGTCACACACTGGAGTCCAGTAAAATATGACCTGGTGGCACAAGTGAGACTGCTTGGCTGCTGGTAATAGATTCCTTTGCCAAGGTGATTTAAAAAAATGAAGCAATTTGAGTAGGAAATGCTAAAAATATAAAGTTTACTGCAAAAAAATAATAATTTTTTTCTTGTAAGAGAAGCTTAGAGAAAAAATGTGGTAGCAGTACAAAATGCTTCTCATTTAAAGCAATCTGTGCAGAGTTATTGCCCTGACCGAACCAGGGATATCCTCCTCCAGCTGCCTGACACGATGACCCCACCTTCTCCCTTTTCACCATTAACTGCTCCACTTCGGGCCGTACCCCTTCATCAGATATTGTTTGCAGCTCGTCAAAACATTCGTCTACAGGATGTCTGAGAAAGAGCGCAGCTGAAAGTTCTTTTTGTGTGCACGTTGTGTGTGTCTCTGAAGCAGAAGGGGGTGCTCAAGGATGGCGTGGTTTAATTTTCAGCTTCCTCTGATTGTGGTGCAATCCCTCAGGATCTTAAGAACTTTAACACAACACTCAAAGACAAAAGTTAGAATAACAATTGAGCTTATCTCTCTCTCTCTCTCTCTCTCGAGAATAAAAAAAGAGAAATCTGAGCAAAAAAAAAAAAAAACAGGAAAGCCCATGTGTGTGTGTGTGTGTGTGTGTGTGTGTGTGTGTGTGTGTGTGTGTGTTTTGAGTCAAGCAACAGACCTAGACAGTGTCTCTCTGTGAGGCTGCTGGGTTTGTTCGGGTGCTGCCAGCTGCATACAGGGCAGGTGGGATGCCTGGAGAATACTAATAGCTCCTTGAAAAGCCCAAAGTGACCGATCAGAGAATACCGATCAACCATTTTGCTGAATCACAGCTAGAAAGACCAAAAGCACAAATGGAATTTGTCACTTCCAAAATGCAATTATATGACTAAGGAGTTGAAACAAGTTATTTGACCAAAGTTTCCACAAAGAACAGAAACATAGACTGATCAGAAGGCCTGAAAAAGACGTTTTCTGAAAAAGTATCCACCACTTATGCAACCATAGTTCCACTTGCCAGCTTAACTGCTTAGTTACCCGGCTTTTTAGAAAGTGAGCCAAGCAAGAAAAAGACTTCCTGTGACACTTTGTCCCAAACACAGTGGCAGTCAGGTAAAACAAAAACCATTTTATGCAGCAGATTAACAAGACTGGCAACAATTCTAACCCAATTCTGTCCTATTGGTGCTTTTTGAAACCAACCAGTCAAGTTTAACCCTGCAACTTGATTCATGAAGGATATCATCTGCTTCCTCCTTTTCCCTCTCCTTGAACCTCTCTTCACAACCAAGCGTGAAAATGATGCATTCACATATTGTAAAGTAAAATAAACTAACTTGACACATTTTGAAGGATGCCCTACCTGGTATAGAGGCCTTGACACACACCTGTGAGTGTGCAAAAGATGCATAGGCCCAGGGATGTTCCTGGCGTGTACGCAAAGCCGTCGAATGGCGGTGGAGCTGAGGGTCCACAGCAGACTCCTCTGAGTACAAACCACCTCATCAAGACCCAACAAAACCGCCTCCATTAGTGTGCTTTTGTCTTCCAGACTTTTATTGTTACAGGTGAACCCCACAGGAGAAGAATCCACAGAAGTCCAGGTAATGAAATAAGTACTCAGATTAGCTGTTATCGTCCACTTAGCTCCAGGAGATAGTATTCAGGTTATTCCTGGAGGTAATGAGCAAGCTCTCTGTCCCGTCTCTCTGGAATTCACCAGTCCGATGCCTCCTCAAGGTCAAACTCATTCCTCCGTCTCACACAACTGATGGACACTGCTGACTTTCTCTCTTCTTTTCCTCCTCTTTTAGTCCATTCTGCTCTTTTCACACTGAAGTAATTCAGCCTCCATCTGCTGGCCTGAGCGCCACAAACACAAACATTCCCACTAAGG